AATAAAAAAAATTGTACGGAAAATTGTAACACAATTCAATCGTTTAGATTTTTGCGTATTGACGAAAAGTCAATCTGAAATATAAAAGACGATCAGCTCTCCAGGATAGGAGATGAAGTTCAAGTTGGTGGGGCTTAGCTAGTTAAATGAACGAGTCTAAATACACGAACAGGCAGTTTTGAGTTCCCATAGCTCTTCAGTCCGTTGAAATGGCAACCATCGGGAGCTAATTAAGTGTCCAGACAGGCATATTATCTCGTTAAAAACGAGATTCAGCATTTTTTGCCTTTTTTAAAGACCCATGACGAATTCTCCTGGAGATGTAACAGCAAAGCAAGTCATCTTCATTCTCGATATCGTTGATCACATTTACGTAACATGCCAGTCTGTCTAAGGCTTTTTCAAGACGCTCAGCTCTCTCTCTTCTGTTTGCGCGCGTCTTTTTACTCGGATGCAGATAACTGTTTATGGCCTTGTTAGAAAACGTGAGCTGCGATTCCTCAGAGGCTCTGTTCAGGGCTCTTATGCCTAAGAAATCTCTGAAGTGCCTCATGATAAATTCCAGCATTTCAAATTCGTTCTGCATTTAGTCATTTTGCCGTTTTACAACTTCGAAAGATTCAATTATGATGGCAATGAGAAGATTTAGAAACAAGAAGTTGGTCAGGATTGTGTAGAGAAAGAATATCACCGCGCAAAGGATCTTGTGCAATCCCATCATTTCTTCCAAGTCGAATTGTCCCAAAAGAACACTGAGTAGTTTTTGCATGGAGCCAATCAGCGTGCTGAACGATTCATAGTTGCTGGCTAACAGAAAATGATAAAGCTGCGAAAACGCCAGAAAGACGATGATGAATACAATAAAGTATTGCAAGAGTTCTTTGCTTGCGTGTCGCAATGTACAGGAAAGAAGAAATATTCTCCGGTTGAATCTCAACAGTTTGATAAACTTGAGACAAGTGACAAACACTGTTACACCAACCACGTTTTCGAACATAAGCTGCCAAGCTGAGAGGTACTGGAAACTAATGAACTTGGTTGGATTTTGGTGATAAAAGTGCAAAGTCCACTTCCTTAATCCCAGACAGATAAAATAAAACGACAGAGCGATCCAGCAGAGCATCAACACAGCAAGGTCCATCAAATTCCACAGCTCTGTGAAGTACCTTCTCCTTGTTTTGTAAATCTTTTTAGCTTCTCGGTAGGTGAAGTAAAGTACAAATAATAAGAAGAACACTTCACAGGCGAGAATAAACAATTGGAAATCACCCGCGTAACGGTAGAGGCGGTACGCAAGGACCTCTGAGTGTGGGAAGACTCCTCCTGTTGGAAATACCTCCATCAGAAACGTTACCGCACAGAATAGGTTGCTGTTTGGGTTGTAAAGTGTAAACTCGATAAACATGCTTCGTGTGTGGCGATCCAACCAGAGCGCAGTTCTGGAATCCCTGATCTGTCGCAAGGCTTTGTAATAAATGAGAGACAGTTCCAGCACATATCCCCCTCCCGAGTATGTTTTTATACCACCCGTGTAAGGGTAGCCGTCTAAGTCGCTAGCAGAGCTGTATCTCCAGGGACTCGGTGACGAATTCTTAGTATTGTTTGAGAGTGAATCCCAGCCAGTTGCATATGCTTGTTTTTCCTCTGTAGTCATTTCGTACTGTGAAGAACACCTTGAGAAGAAATCTTGTGCTTGGGGTACCACACGACAAGAATCTAAGCACGAGAGAGAGAGAGAGAGAGAGAGAGAGAGAGAGAGAGAGAGAGAGAGAGAGATAGAAAGGTTAATCTTAGCATTATTTCTCCGCGAAATTACTTTCTACTATAATTGGTTTCAGTGAATATTCAGGGAAACGAGAGATGATATTAACTCGGACAGTGTAATGTTACAAGGTTAGCTCGTCAGGTGTCTCTCATAGATCTCCATTAATGCTGTTATAGCTTTAGTAAGATCCATGAATGAAGAATCATCGATAACTGTTGTTTTGTATTTCAGTTCTAGAGCTCCGAAAAAAGAAATTAACCTGAAGTCGAGAATGTCAAGAGACGATTTTGTTTACGATAAAAGGGAGAAAACTACTTTCCTTCTGTTTTATATCCTCTCACCTCTTTTCGTCCTGTGCTGCCGCAATCGGGCAATGCCCACTACATGTCCACTTTCCCCTTCAATAAACGTTGGTGCTTTTCCGGTGTAAAAGTATGATGGCAAATTGTACAATGTCTGAAGCATTGCGAGCTCCATCCAGTCCCACATATCTCTCTGTCGAATGATCTACAAAGAGAAAATAAAAAAAGGACAGTCAGTCGAGTTTGCACAAACAAAGTAACAGACCAGGTCGGGTTCTGTAATGATCCACTGCAAGAGCTGACTTCATCTCAAGGTAAACAACGAAGAGAATATATGATTTGAGATGTTTAAGTTAATGAAAGGCTCTTGGTAAAGAGAGTAAATCAAAATTTACCTCAGTGAATCGCTCCGGCTTAGACTCCCTTGGTTTCCCGCTAAAGCTTTGCTGTAGTAGAACTTTGGCAACAGCGTCATTCTGACGAAAAGCGCTTTGATCTCTGAAGCCATAGGCAATGAGGAGAACAAGTAATGTAAACACTAGAAAGGATCCTATATCAAGCAGTATGGCGTGCATCATACGTTCCTTTTGTGCCCTGTCTCGGGCGCGCTTTATACTATCCTCTGTCGGCACCTCAACAGGAGGTGCTTCAGGACGTTCCCCGAAGTCTTCTTCCGAATCCTGAAGCTGTTCCTGTAACGGTTGCTCGTCGAATTTGAGTTGTGATTTTGGCGAAAATGCGACTTTGCTGGGCTTTTTAAAGATGTAGACGAAAACTACAGCAAAAGCGACAACTTTGAGCGGTTGGCTCACAAAAATATCTTGTGAGAGCGAGAAGAACATGGATATGAGCCATTGTGTGGATTTCTTGAGACCAAACTGGATCCCGTACAGCAGTGTAACCGATGCAGCCGTTAGCGAGGTTATTATGACCAAAAACCATCCGACATAGATAAACCACCAAGGCAGTCCTTTCGCACGTGGTGCATATTTCGCAGTTGGTGCATTCGACGACTTCTCAGAGTCGTTTGTGGGTGACTGCCGAGATGGAGAGCATCTTGTTAAAAGAGATCTTATATCAGAGGTTGAATCAGGGGGAGATTCCATTGCCAAAGATACTGAAAGAGCAGGAAAATGAGCAGACCGTAAAGCAGATGCCAAGCTAAATCCTTTATCTTCGTAGTATTTTTGTGGTTCTTGTGGAGAGCATTTGTTTACACTTTGGCTTTGACCAGCGGAGTGGATACAAAGCGCAGAGCCTTCCCTAGATCCGAATTTAACCATAGTGATTTCCGTTTTAATGGACGAGAATCGTTGTCTGGGTTTTGGCTTGAAGCAGCCATGATTTCGTGTAGCCTCAGGGCGGCAGTGTCTAAAAATCTGCACCAAAAGCAAATTGATTGGAAACACGATAAGACTGCTACATATTCCTATGGAAACTTGTTCCCAAGAAAATTCAAAAGGACCGAGCTGAACAGCACTGTAGCGGCCTGTATCACTCTCGTACCACAAGGCGTTGGCCATCATGGTACACAACAGAACTGAGAGGCAGCAAGACACCCGCTGAACCCGTGTGAAAGGGGACTGAGGCGGTCGCCACACAACTGAAAACCACAAGTGCGAGTCAGTCAGGTCATTGTAGGCTTTAGTCAAGAACAAACGCCGAAACTCGTTCAATTCCTTGTTGCTTGTTACTGGAAATATTCTATCAATCAGACCATCACCTTCGTCTACCGCAAGCCAGCGTTCGCACACGAAGTACCACACTCCATCAGTGTCAATTTCACGTATGGATATCTGCTTTACGAACCAAGCTGGATCCTTACCGAAGTTATCGTGCCACATTCGGATGTACAACAGCTCCCCGAGGGTCTCCGAGGTCGTTAAGAGAAACGAGTCGACGCTGCCTCGAGCTAACGTCACTCGATGGCTGCTCCTAAGCAGAAACGCATGACTTTCGCAGTTTTCTCCTGTTATTGTCATGGCAACGTTTGCAGTTGTACCAGCGTGTCTGCGCATGCCAGTACAAATGACTACCTCGTAAGCATGTTCATCTCCTGGTCTGTTGCTCGGGCTCAAAGTTAAGCCTGTCTGTGGGAATAACGATAGAAACAAAATGGGACCATAGCACTTGCTTGACTCGGCCCAGTTCCTTATCTATAAAACACTGACGTGCCTAACTGACACATTAGCTATCGCCAACTGATAAAGTATCATAAGTTCATTGGCTATTAATCATCTCTTCGATTTAAAATTTTGAACACCTAATACACTGAATCAAAATATGGTGTCCAAATTGAATTGCCATTGTTCTGGACTGACTAGCCTCTCACACATGTGATAATCCTTTTGTGTTTCCACGTCAAGACGAGGCTAGTAAGTCCAAAACAATGGTAATTCAAATTGGACGCCATATTTCGATTCGGTGAATAGCGAAAAATGTATCCTTAGCCGAAAAAGAATAACTTGATCTCTCTTTCTAACAACCAGCTGTAATTGCTATGAAGCTAAAACAAATAATTTCCATTTGGTAGCACTCTCAAAAAGGAGCAAGAAAAAAATGGCAAAATACCTTATTTTTATCTTTTTGATCCTGTCGACGAGCCCAGACGAGAATCAAAAAGTACAAACCAAATGTGACACAGAGCACGGAAAGGACTGGGGCATAGTTCGACGGGTCTGATATTCTGCTGGCTATGAGGTTCAGGTCAAGTTTATTGGGAGGAACAAAAACACGGCTTCCAAACCACGTTAAGTGATTACTACGACATTCAACGCGCTCTGGTGTGGTCAGGGAACCAACCTTAAAAAAATAATAATAATAAAAAAAAAACAGAAAAAAGTTTTAAACAAAATCCTGCGGTTATGCTTTTCATTTGATTTAAAGAGTTTGCGATTAACTGAAAGATAGTTCTCCGAGCAGATGATTTGTGACTTACTTAGTTGCGCCAATTTCATAACCTATATCATGGTACTAAAAAAAGAACTAAGAAACGTGTAGATGCAGTCTGTACCACAAGCGTCATGCGCGTTGTTCAATAACTTACAGGCTTTCTAATCGGCATACCTAGACAAACTTGCGCATCCCCACACACATTTTTTGAGACCCTTACTATCTCCCCTGCCACTCTCATCAGGAGTTCCGCAAGATGCCAAGGATTCATTTGCATTTAACAAAATGGAAAAGGGAAAGGGAGGGTTATTTAAGAACATCACACTTGTTGTTCTGGAGTTGTTCTAGAGAAGTGCGCCAACTAATTATGACTAAGAGTGTACCTCTACAGTTATAAATAGGTCTCTATCTGAATTGGGTTTCGTGATTCACAGCTCATCAGAATGACTGACCTTTTGTAAAGTCTTTTACATCTCGAGAATGCGCAAATTGGCTCATCGGGAAAATAGTGCTTATTTGTAATCAGCCATTACAAACGAATGTAACAACCTCGTAGTGATCTCCAAAAGAGTTTTTCTTCTACCACAATATCAGTTCTCATATTTACTGTCTCGTATTGAAAAGTTATTTTTCACAGAAAATCTCCTAATAATGTCGCCTAACCGAACTAGTCACGGCAATTTGCGTCCGGCTATCGAGATGTCGCCATCGTGATATCCTGACACAAAATAGTACAAGATATGCGGGACCGATGTGTGTCAGTGAGGCCTGATCGCGCCTTTTTCAGGGATAGGGATCAGAGCTGGTGACAATGTTGAGTAACCACCCCTGTCTGCCCCATCCTGCTTACCTCACAACCATCTGTGGTCCACGCCTGCATTTTCTCGTTCCAATAATAACAGCCGACGGCCATCACGGATACCTGATAGCGTATCCTAGATGTGATAGCTGTAATATTCGTAGCATTACTTTTCGTCTGTAACTTCACACCGAGGTAGAGCCTCTCCGAAGTATTTAAATACTTTCGCGCTATGAGTCGCTTTAAAGTGGTGTTACACGAGGCGATAATCCATCGGAAGTCAAAGGTGTCAGTCCTAGGCTTTGAGTTTCTCCTTCCCGTAAAAATTAGTTTGTGGCCGCTCATGACTCCAGTACAGTTTATCGTAAGGTAAAGTGCACTTTTATTATCGGAATCGATCTTGAAGATTGTGATGTTCTCTTTAGCATCGATGATACCAGTCATGTTATTACGATCTTTAATATCTGTTTGGTTCAGCGACAAGAATATAGACACAGGTTCTGCAAGATCCTGGATTTGGATTTCCTTCCCAGAAGTCTCCAAGAACTCAAGCGTCGATACTGGTGTATCAATGGGAGTGGCATCGTTTGAAATGAACGGGGTCTGGGACATGGTTATCACCTACATTAATAAAGTGATTAAGGATTAGGATGTAAATAGCAAGGGTATCCTTAGGGGGTGTCATACATGGGCACCACTTTAGAATGTGATAGCATTTGGTTAGCTCATGCAAGCTGGAGAGGGTCATCTTTGATCTATGACCCCTCCCCAGTCATAACCTTGTAGAACCCTTGCTCACAAAGTGATTTCTCTATAGAATAATTTCAATGTTCCAATGAACTATTCAGACGCAAATCTAAATCAGATATGACGGTGCTTAGAGGTTTTCAGTCACCAACTCAGATTTCGCGCCTATTTTGATACCTGTAAATTTTCGTGGCTGCATTAATCAAACTGCTGCATGAAATAAATTAATGTGCATCTGTGCCACCCGCATATTTGCACACCAATTATGTTGGATGGTTTTGAAACTAACCTTTGTATTAACTGTGTTAAAAGCACCGAGTCTGTCTTTCTTTAATTCTTCCGGAATTTTAAAAGTGACCACTCCACCGTTCAGCGCCGCGTCATTTATGTCACTGGGAGACTGGCGAGTAAGGGTCATTTTCATCAAGCTTGAGGACACGTGGTTGGGTGGATCTCCATTGCGCTGATAGTCCAATAGTTTTTGTGCAGCATAATTGATACCCTTTAAGGACTTAGTAGTGGCTTGTTCGCACTGAAACAAAGAATTTTATTATCATATAATTTGACTGTTTGGTATAAATGGTTTCTTGAGAGTTCTAATGAAGTTATACCTTCTCCTGGTGGTCTTTATTTCTGGCCTCATTACTATCATCAATCCAGTCTTTGATTTCATCCGAATTCTGTTGGCGTTTTACTTCATTACTTGTAGACACAGATGCTTCCAGGATGATGTTCAAACCACGAATAATGTCCCTGGACTCGTTCGCTGCTTGGAAGCTCTTGAATTTAATAACCAATGCTTCGGCCATGTTTGAGAGAGCAATTGCACCATCCTCCTTAAAAATGATAACAAAAGAAATGTAGTGAGGTGCACCACCAAAGACGAGATCATCTAATCCATAATACTTGAGAGTCTGAATTGAAGTTACGCTTGATGGCGACAGTGAAACAGCCGGCAGCCCTCTAAGGCGTTAAATTTCAATCGTGGTGATCAAATGTACCACCCGCTTCTGTTTGCTATAAGACCCTTCTGCATGCATGTCTGACTTGTATCCCTGAGGGAAGTTTTTCCGATTTCCTCAGTACTGCAACTTCTCCATAGAGGAAATGCTAGTTCAGCATTTCGTAATGCTTTCTTTGGTTGCCTAATCTATATTTGGGTGAAGGGAGTTTCTCGGAGACTAGGGTTTTTCCCAAGTGCAAAAAGCGGGGAGACTGGGCATTGCTTTCTTCCCCTGCCCCTTCACTTCTTTCCCTTCGTTAAGCCTTTTTCAACTTTGTTTGATTCTTTAAGGGGAAATTTTGCACAGCGTTTGAGCGGAAAAGGATCGAAGCTTACACGGACTAAAAGTAATGCTCCTCACCAGTGCTTCAGGTGATAGTTCAGCGGTTACTCCGATGGCTTGAAGAAGTCCACCTAGAGCTTGTTGGATACTCTGCGGACTACTGCAACACACCTGAGACAGTTCAGCGATCACTGCACGTCGGACCTAAACAAACACGATACAGATAAACACGTCCGCATGCCTTAGTGCTAACCCGCAGAATCCAAAATTCAAATTCATGTTTGAATAAGAATTTTGAGGCTTGTGTGAGTGTACAAAGGTTTTCAGTACCAACCTCCACACGGTTACCCATCTCGGTAGAATCAGAGAAGTGTTCCTGAGAAGATACTTGGTTTAAAACCGTGACGACGGTCGTCATCAATTGTGTTGCTTGTTGGAATTCTCCGACCTCGAGAAGTTTCTCCAGCATAGAGTCAGGTCCGCTGACAATTCCTTTCAGAATTGAGCTGACAGAATCAGCCTCGGCACCAAAACTTCTCACCTGCAACAAAACAAACAGTTATTGATTCTTGACTCTTAATTCAAAGAAACAGAGTGTCTTTTTAAAAGCTACTTCTACATGGTCGACATAATAGCACACCTTCGCTTGAAGAGGAACGATTCTGTAGGATCCTAGAGCGTCTGAAATTTTCACAAAAAGGTCCACGTTGTGATCGTTATCGTTCAATCCTGGGGGAAGGAACAATCCATTAGAATACGGCGTCCACCCATAGTACAGCAGCAACGGTCCTTGCTCGGGATTTCCAAGGAAAAACTCGTACTGAAGAGGCATGTCTTCGTCCCTCCAACCCGCGCAGCTGATGATAAACTGCGTCTCGATTACTTGGCCTTCCCAAGGCGATACAAAACATGATCCATTAGTCGGAGACATGTCGGTTATTACCGAATACTGCGCCGAGAAGCCGCTGTTGTTGTTGGTAAAGAGAATCGTGTAAATCCTATTCGAAATCAAGTTCCTAGGATCCAGCAGGAACTGTTTCGCGTAAGAAACTCTAATTAACTGTACACCTATAGAGCGTTTTGAAATCCGCCCGTTTGCTTGGGGAGGTCCGTAAAGTTCCCAAATGCAGGTTGTATTTGTATCGTCTTGGCAACCGACACCATCGAGGATCAGTTCTTTGGAAGGTGTTAGCTTGTGCGCGCAATTTTCCTTGCATCTGCGGGAAAAAGAAGCAGTTAAAGACAATAAAAAGTTTTCTTCGATTATGGAACGCTTGAGAGGAATCACACCAGACTTGCAAATGAGTAGCAGGTAAATCCGCTTTTATGGAGAGATAGAATGTACATAACAGCAGAGAGAGCGGAGGCTATTATCAATTCGGGAAGCTCGAAAACAAGTGCCGGGGGCGCGAGTTAGTAGGGGGGTCTGGGACCGTCTTCCTCGGAAAATTTTCAAATCACCATCTCCGGGGGTTATCTGAAGGCACTAGGCAGGAGTGATGAAACGTTGGGTCGATGAACTGTAATTCGCCAGTTACATTTATTAAATCCTTAAACCAGAGTAGCATCAACCATGTCAGGACCTTTTTTCGTTTCTTTTTTATCCTTTTCATTCTTAATACGTACCGTATATTAAAGCAAGATAAAATGCCGCCCTTGCAAAAAGTGGTGGAGGAGGGCTGAGGCCTCCCCCAGTCCCCACTCTGCCGTTCCTGAACAGTAGAAAGGTTATCCAAACGGAATTTACGATAAGCAACGTTTTGAACTTTTAGCTGGGATTGTGATTCACTTAGGATGGCACTGGATTCTTTACTGACGTCATAATTTTATGTAGTTGCATTCATTTGTGAATAGGAAAAATGATACTTTTTCTAGTGAACACGACTTTGAACAGGCCTGAGGATCATGGATTGAATTGATTAAGAGTGAAGCCTTTAAACGATTCTTAAAGTACTTCTGATCGGTTGCCTTGTAGTGTTGCGAGTAGAGAGACCAAGTGATCTAGCACAAGTAAACTAAAGAAATATATCAATCCAACCTCATTGCTTTTTTGATCAAGTTGAACACGATAATTAACACCGACCTGACGCAAAGCGGAAGGAAACTGCCTGACACAACCTCTATACTCTGTGTTGCTTCAGCCTTCCTCGATCCTTTGGTTAGCACAACAACGAACCTATATGTTCTATTGAGATCAAGGTACTTCGGAGGAAACACCAACGCGGGCCCTCTGTTATCAATTGATTCCTTAAAACAAGAGACACTGCGATTGTTGTCACAAAACCACTCAAATGACAAAGAACTTTTGCCTCGGCTGTCGTAAAAATCATTCGGGTCACGTGAAGACGAAGCATTCAAAACGATATCTTGATTCCAAGGCATAACTCTCTTGTTCCCACAGTCTATGACAGCCAGCAGTTTCGGCATGCGCACGCGTAGAAATCCAATTGCAGATTTCGATAGCCCAAGAGGTTTTGCTGTTACTAAGAGGGTAAATTTGTAAAGACCACTCCTGAGGGACTGAGATTCTAGTAAGAGCGCACTCGAAGACAGAACTTCCTTCGACAAGTGGACAACCTTGGTGAGGGCATCGTTCAAAATATTTTCTATCTTCCACTTATATTCTAGTTCTCCGTAATTAGAGCAGTTTATTTTCAAAGAAGAGTAGAGAGAATATTCATTCTCTTGTTCAATCTCAGGGCATTGACTGCTGTTATCACCAGCACCGAGCATGCGTAGTTCATGTATAACACACGGTATTTCACTGATGTAAACCGACCGCTGCACTGAGATATCAGGGCCAACAGCACTGGTCGCTGTAATGGACAAACGATAAATGCCACGCTCGTTGTACTGATGGGCTACCGTCACAAAATCAGGTAACGTTCGTAAAAACCCCACTTGCGCTTCTGAAAGAAAAAGGAATGGCATTCGTTCGTACCAATCTAATATGCTGGACTACGTTAGTTTTAGCAGAAGAAGATCGATCTTTTCTTAAGGTTAGTAATGGTACTCAAATATTTTTGCAACATTTGTAAACTCTCATGAGCAACGTTTGATACCGGTTGAAACAAATTCCATGAATTCAAAACATCTGAGGTTTACTCACCAGTATTGTCACCATATTTTAGTGAGTATGTGACGTTGTCTCCTTGGAGAATTTCAAATTTCAAAACCAAGAGGTTAGATGACGTCACAGCTAAGTCTCTGATATGCAAATCTATGAGGCGATACTGGACGGTCACGTGGCCAGATAATACCACATGATCAACTGTAGAGGTAATATTCACTGTGATGAAATATTGTCCCGGGTGATAAAAGGTGTGTGATAAAGTAGATCCAGCTTCTTCTAAGCTTGATCTATCACCCCAGTTCCAAATGAAGCGTACAAGATGAGGATTTGTGACAAGTTCTACTGAGAAGTCGATTGCGTGACCAACCAAACCAACAGAAGCGTGACGAAGTATGATGTCCTTTAGGGAAGGAATCTGATGGCGATCCACTGATGCAGATTTGTAAAAGGTAACACTAGAAGGTCTTATGGACATTACTGCTTCTTCACTGTACGTTGAATACGAAGAAATAACCCCGCTCAAGCTATCGCTCGCATGTAAAGGTGATGTAGATGTTGACATTATTGACGACTGATAGACAAGGCGTGAGGGCGACTCAGTTGCAGTTGCACTTTGCGTGTGGGTCGAATACACAAAGAACTGGACCGTTTTCGTGCGAAAGGACACATCATTACTCGCGTTAACGGTAATGTTCGCGAATCCTGTGTTGACAAAGCGATGGACGATTTTCCTCCCTTTTGAGACAGTTGAATAATTGTCAGACTCTCGGATTTTCCAGGTAAATACTGGAAAATCCCCGCGAAGGAGATGAACGTGAAATTTGCATTTCGTTCCGACCTCGGCCTGTAAAGCACAGTCAGAAGTAATATTTATTCCTTTGACACTGTAAATTGCCCTCAACGAGTGAACAATGTTCAAGTCAGGATAACTATTGGATTTGCACGTTATTCTATATCGTCTATGTAGTGCTCTGCCAAAGCTTTTATACATTGTCACATTGCCTTTGCTGCTGTTGCTGTATCCAGACGCCCGAAGTGTTAACACAGGATCTGCTACAATGTCGCTTCCCCTCCTCCCCTTTAACCCATGTTGTTCAAAGAACAAAGCTGGTGTCCCCCCAGGCCAATTTACTAGACAGGTTATTTTCACAGGCACACCGGCTGGGACTTTCAGGGGGGCATCAATAGACAACGGATTTGGAATAACTTGAACAGTGTGAGGGACGGACGACTTTGAGATCTTATTATAGCAGTGCAGAGTGAAATTCGTCGGGCCTCCTGGTGTAAATACATGACTGATGGTTTTACCCATCTCCCTTGCAGTGTAATCATCTGGGCCAAATTCCCACGTGCATCCGACCTCTGAGCCTTGTGTCGCGTTGGAAACCATACACGTTTCCGCGTTCTCGAACGCAAACGCATTATGACACACGCTCGCTCGTAGACCTTTTATCGACTGACGCACTGACAGAATAATGTTATCACTCTTTCTCTTTTGAGAGACAAGATTGGTTACAGTTACTTTTACGTATACATATCCAAGATAACTGTACGAAGAACTGTACTGGAAAACTCCTCCTTCGGTGGTATTGTTGTTTTCAAGATAGGGAGACTGACGAACTGTCAGACTTGAGTCAGGAATGTACCATTCACACGTTACGTTAGTGCCTTGTTCCACCCTCGCGGTAATGTTTGTTGTGGTATTCACTTTAATGAACTCTTCATACAACAGGCGCACATGTGCCACTGAGTTTTGAACCGTAATTAAAGATCGGAATGCGATCACTTTGTGGGAGCTGATAGCGTTAGCAAAAGTCGTTATTAGAGGATAGAGTCCAACCTTTTCTAAACATGAAACAAAGATGGCAGCTGCCACCCTAATTGAGCCGTACAGTTTTATATCAAAAGACAACTCCAAAGGCTGCGCTCTCGAAAGGTCCACGGAAATATCAAACGTGTTCCGCGCTGGCATAAAATAAACACTTCCATTTTTCCCAGCGGTAATTTGCGTCAGCTCAGCACCTGATGAGTTTCTATAGAAGCCCACAATGTCTCCGACATCTGCAGTAAACCATTGTCCCTTTGGTATGACAATCAAGTTATGCCCTGCTGTAAGATTCGCCTCCACGCTATACACTTTAAGATAGTTACTGCGCCTTTGCCCACAAGGCATGATGGATTTATACCGCCAATGACGTACATCGAAGCATACCTTCTTACAGCGATCGCTGGATGGAACCCATTCCCCGCAGGATGATTTTACTCCTCTGTACCTTGAACAGCTCGTACGGTTCAATTTCGCCCTGTAAATCTTTGAAAAGAAGTGACCGTTGAGGAATTCACTAAAGCACGCATTGAAAACAAAAGTGGCGGGCAAAACAAAACAAGCCAATAGAAACACCGTGGCAAGTATGTGTTTTTTAAAGTAAAAACGCATTGAAAACAGATTGAGAGCTGACCTGCAACTGGATGAGGCCAGGTTTCTCAGCATGTACCTGCCAGGCCTCTACTCTGGTCCTCGACAGAAAATGAAGAGATGGAAATAAATACAGTCCAGCCTCTCCACTCTTGGCATCCGATTGGTTAGTCAGCGGAGGTCCCGTACTTCCTAAAATTTCCCGCGGCACGTCTTTAAGAGAACAAGTAAATAGTAAATAAACAATAGCCGCCGTTTGACGCGAAAATATGTACGGGTATTTGTCCTTGAACATTATCTATTCCAAGATATGTGTACACGTACACTTACATATGTGTACACGTATACAATTGCATCAATGGCCTAATTAATCACAATATGGACTTGATTAGACAAGACGTACTTCATAGGCATAATAAACGTAACAAAGGCAATTTTAGATTACCGCGTGTCAAAAGAAATTGGGGGAAGCAAAGATCACAATATCATGCCGTTTCCGATTTTAACTCCCTCAGTCAGACTATCAAAGACTCAAAGAATGTCAATAGTTTTAGACGTAATGTTTTTAAGTTTTTAATATAGCTACTTACGTTTAATTTTTATTTATACTTATTTTTAATATATTTTTGATTTTTAATTTTTTATGCCTTTTTTGTATCCTTTTAATCCCTTTGCAATTTCATTGCTTTCTTGTTTCTACTATATATACCTAGTTTCGAGGTCCTTTTTGAAAACCATATCTGTTATGAAAAAGTTTCCTCAATAAAGATGATTATTATTTATTATTAAGATGCACACAGTTTTCAGAGAGCGAAGCCCGGGGAAAACTGTGAGCTTCGAGGTACAGATAATGTCCAGGGACAAATAACCGCATATATTTTCGCGCCAAAAAAGGTTTCAGTGTTTTTCATCCTTCAAATATTTTGCAACGCGCGTGAAAAAATGTTTCCGAATAGCTTACTGTATGCAGCGTGGTTTCCCTTCTTCTGTAACACCCTCAACACTCTCTCTCATTTGAATTAAATTCAAAATGAAGACATACCGTAGTGGACGTAAGGTTTGAAAATGAGGGAATGTTGCTTGGGTGATATTCTCGGATATTACTCAGTTTCAGCTGAGGGATATTCGGTCACGTGCTGCATTTCGACTAATTACGCGCATTTGATGGATTATAATGTGCTATACTAGTAGTTACAAAAATTAAACAAATTGGTTATTCATGAAGGACGTTTTCTTTCTTTTGTTTCTTTAAATAATATGTTGGACGTGGAAACCACACGATTTTCAAAGTTGGTCTAACTTTGTCGAATTTAGTAAATGGGGCTTTTCAGTTTCTAAGGGAACTTAATCAGTTACTTCGAATTGCTATCCTTGCTACTAATATTCGTTCCCAGACTTCCCCTGCCCGAATATTTCGGCTGCTTAATATATGTTGAGTTATGCACACCATTACGAAGTCGTACCTGGGATTGAGAGTGATACTGTTTGATTTAAGCTGCCCAATGATATAAATGCGGTAACGCCACCTCCATAGAAATTATATGCGTTACAATATAAATAAGTGAGTGGTTCTACAGGAGGACACCAGGTGCCATTTACTTGAACGAAGGACACTCGGATCTTGCGTGACAGTATGAAGATTGTCAAGTTACCCCGAGAAGCCACGAAAATGATGTTGAACTCGCCAGGAGTGACGTAATGATGTCTGAGGATTGATCCCTCTCGCCAAGTTTTATTGCTCTTTCCATCTCCAAAATCAATGAGATAAAGCAGTGATTTTGACGATGAATTTGATGCTGTCACACTTGATTGTGTGACAGGTGAGGAGACTGATGGCGTCATCTTGGATGTAAATGCTGTGAAAGTTAATCCCTGATATATTTCAACGGATGCTGTAGAAAGGCAGCTGGTGTTGTAAAGCAGAATGTTTCTCGCTGCGGCAGGTGAGCTGCACGGATACTTCATAATCATTGGAAGAAAACTGTCGTTCGCACAGTGACACTCTGTGACATTGAGCACTACAGCCAGAGGAAATCGTGCATGTGCGCAAGTTTCGATACACTTATATGGAGAGAGTGTCGTTGACTTTTGTCTGTGTAAGTTCAACTCATTGTTTTGCTCTTCATAGCAACCCAGGAGCAAATTGTCTAAAAGCGAAACGATAACAACTTCAAACTAAAAGCAACAACAACAAAAACACATAAACAAATAGACAAAACTTATAAAAGCTTACCTGGAGATTCCGGCGGTAAGTGGAAAGTTTCAGGTGACGGGAGACTCACTATCTGTTTCAAAACAATAGCAAACGGAAGCATTTCAAAAGCCAACCAACTGAAATTTTGCCTGCAGTTACCAATTTTTGCACAATTCACACAAAACACAGATAACGAGTTTTTGTGCTGTTGTGTTTCTAAAAGTAACTCGGCACTTTCAGTATAAAATTAATCAGCTCGTACCTCGAAAGCGAGGGCCACGGGAGTGAAGTTGGGTATTTCAGTGTAACTTTCCTAAGGGCTTTTCAATTTCAATTTTATATAATAACCTAGAAAAGTCTCCTAAAACTAATGTACCATAAAATTCGAATGCACGCTCGGAAGAGGTTTCAACAAGAGGATATATGTGCTTATCTTGGTTTCGGCTAATTCTTTCAAAATTTAATAATGAGGTAAATGCAATTGAAAACATGGCTATTCATCGAAACTCAGATGGTGATTACAAGCAATTTTCTTGCTGCGTCAAGTTTTCGTTTGATGAATTGTGGGGTGATATAAAGTAATTATAGGGAAATGTTTTCAACGTGGATTTATTTAATGACTATCCAGTTAAGAAGTGAAACGATGAAACACATCTGCACCTTTTTTTAATCAAATAGCAGAGTATTCCTCTGTTACTGGTTTATAAAATTTATGACAAGAAAACCTCACAAGAAGGAGTATAACAGCTCGAATATTTCGTCATTTGATTAGCTTTGTTGTTGTTGTTGTTTTTTTTTCATAAAAATTTTGCTCCGATCTAGTAATCTTTTCAGTTATGGCGGTTTGCTATTGCGTTGTTCCTAAGGTTGAGTTGTTTGATTGACACAAGATAATGAATAGGATCTTTAAAGCGACATAGGTTTTGAAAAGGTTCATGCAATATTGAGTACTTTAGTCTCGTTGGGACAAGTTTTAAAGAGTCGACAATTTTACGGAAGAAATTGCAGGATTTGTTCCAAATGTAAATTTTTAAAGGCTAAAAAATGGAAAATTCCCAACAAAAGGCCTTTTTCATTTGAGCTCTCGATTTACCAGAACAAATTATTTCTTTAAATGGTCTAACTTCACGTACAAATTAGTTTCTAAAAACGGAAACCACCCATGAGTTATTACAGAGGTGTTTTATACAATCAAGAAGAAAACAACAAAAAAATTAAACATTTAGATGTATATCATAAAAGTTCATGACGTCTTCAAACTTGTCTAGACCCTCCAGCAAGTTGATTACATAAAAGCAAAGCCTGTTTTTATTCTAGAACACAATTCGAGAACCGTTCTCGAATAATTTTCATTACAAGGTGTATTGAAGTTGTTCCGCCTCAGATCTCGATTCGGCACAAAATCTTTTAACACTTCGCTGGGTTATTACGTAGGTAAACTGATAGAAAATATTGCTCTAACCAGATAGTTTCGAGTTTACCGGGACAATAAACGCAAGTTTTTGGCTAATATGACCAAAACATGGATAATGGCGCTATCATTTCGAAAATGATCGAAGTGTACGCATGCTTTCTTATTACCAACATCGACGTACCTCTGTGACATGACCACGATTTTATATATAGCTATCGTCAACTAACTTTTAGCAAACTTTTTGCTGATTAACCACCAAAAATGTCGATTGCAGGAGTCAAAAGATTGACATTTATGGTATCCAATCACACTCACCGAGTAGGCTTTTTGGATGATCGAATCACGTCCAAATTGTATACCAGTTGGTAACATTAAATACACACATTTTCATTGGCAGATTGATCAGAAATAAGTCACTTACATGACCAGTTCTCCACTTGAAATTTTCATTCGTCTTTTAAAGAATAACTATCGAGTTGTTTGCAAGAACTGACAATAATCTGAAACCTTATCTGTACAGCCGATTTTACTGCGAGCTGTGTCAAATTATATAATCCACTAAGAAATGTTAAAGATCATGTATTGTCCATGTATGGGTGGCCTAAATCTTGAAGCTTATCCCTTACTTCATCACGGAAAAGAATTTAAAGACTTCTCCAGTTCAAGTTGGAAAATTGCGCAAGCCCGAAACCAGTACTCAAACACGAACTCGAACAGAAATTAGATTCAATTTATCCTCAATTTCTGCACGCTTTGACCTAACTTTCTGATACAAAGTTGTCGGTAGATAGGAGTTGGCCTGCGTGCGGAAAGAAATTATGACAATGTACTGTAAATATCAATACCAGGGTTAAAATTTACCTCGCGGACTAACTTTTTTTGAATTTCAGACGAAGCGAAGCGAATTCAAATAGTGAGGCTGGAAACTGGTACTTAAAAGAGCGACTGTCGTCCCTGGGGAACGTTTCGCCTTCGATTCTTGTAATGGACGTCAATTTAGAGATTGGTTAATTTAATAAGGCGAACATATTCGTGGTATGATTAGAACTGGGCGGCTTACCTGATGAAAAATCTGAAAGCTTGTGAGAAAAAAACTCAAACAACAAGCGTACATCTTTGTTGATAATTTGAAGCGTGTTTCTCCTCTGTCGCTATCAATGCGGTGCCGTCGTCAGGCAGTTTTCAATTGAACTGTTTTTCAACGAGGTATGTTTAGTCAACTTTTCATCCGGTCTTCATATAATCGTCAACACGACCTGCGGTGGAACTCAATTACCTACGATTGTGAAAAGGTGTAAAGAATAGACAAGCAATTACCTTTATCAATCAAAGTACAAAAGCTGAAGCCAGAAATTCATTACTCACAGCAGAATTGAATTCCCTAATGTGTCACGTAAAATACGAAACTTATGAACACCCTACGTTGATATCCAATCGGATTCAAATATTACTAATGTCAAATGTTTTCGTAAAAGTAATATTAGATTTTAAGGTATAAAAAGAAAGCTATAAAACTGATCTGTCAAAATGATAAAGTTTCCTTTGAAAAGATGGTTGATTGAACTGTTTAAACTGTTTGTCATGCTGACCAGCTTTTTTTTCTCCCTTAATTGCCTGTGAAAAAGCAATTTAAACAAAATTATTATTTCTTTGATCAAAGGAAATAACCAAAACTACTTTTGGGAGGAAGTTATGCAAATCAAAACAGGGTTCTTTTTCAGAGAAATCGACTTACTTTCTCTACAATCTATTTTCTCAAGAAGTTTCTGGAGTTTTTGAATAACATTGATTGTCTTTGACTATTACTTGTTTTAAGCAAATTTAATACGTTACAGTTTACGTTTGTCTTAAACAGAGGTCGTAGAAGTAAAACTTACCGTGGATACGTTGTTCTAAAAGCAAAAATTTTTTGGTCGTGCAACTTTAATGGTAGAAAAAGGATTGCATGTCCAGGCGACGGCAAGGGTTATGATCTAAATATTTTCATAATTTGATTTTCATCGAGATCAGAACAGAAAAATTTAATTTTTTTTTTCATCCATGACAAGGGAACGTTAATTGAAATTTTCTAAACTTCACGTTCACAGCTAGGAAACTGTGCTAATATTCGGCTTTATGCTTAAACAGTGCGACAATTTGCGCAGTGATGTTTAGCGACTACGGACGTCATTTGATTTTAAACCGTGTTTTAAGCGTGGTAATCCATACGAGATGAATTAAGAAACATTTACAATTATTGCCAGAGATAAAGAGCTGTGATTAAGCAGTATTTTAAAAACAATTTCCACAAATTTTTAATCTCTTTAAGACCCGGAGGTGTTACTGAATGCTTTTCTTGTTCTTTTGCAATCATAGTTTGATTTAAAGTGATTGCGTTCCTGCAGGGATCTTGGATTACCCTCAGACGGATATATAGAAGGACGGTAGTGAAAGATGAACAAGCCTTTCTTTCAGTAACGATGAAGCTTGCGTTTACCTCAGTGAAGTATGCACTAGGAACTCTAACGTCGATTTTGTTGAAGACATTGAAAAAGAGCATTTTTTGAGCATAATTTTTCAGTTTACACGCTGGATTTTGTATATATGAGCTACCTATTGACTATGCAATCGCATTGTTAATGGTGTGGTTCTTTGTTACGAGATTATGTTGCAATAAAAAACAGCGTTTTGTTTGCTGAAATCGAAGAATATCCAAACGAAGTATTGATTTCCCTATTTAAAGTCGACAAAATGTAAATCAGGAGAGAGACGTGTTTGCTCTCTTACGACATATACTAAGTGTTGTCATGGCAATAAGTTCCCAGAAATTTTTTGATTTAGAAAAGGTTTTGAATTCAAATTTGCAATGATTTCGAAGATGAAACGACAGATGGTACAAAATTTATACTCGGCCGGCAATTTTTACAGATGTCTAAGGGATTTCGAAATCAGGAACATAAGTTCACCGATTTTGTACTCGTAAGACTCACACCTGACTCCGTCACTCAGTTTAGTCATGTTAGCTATGTCCTCGCGAAAGCTCGTTTTAAAAAAAAAAAGGGAAGATAGGAAAATCTTGTAATCAATGTCAGGAAATATAACCAATTCTTTTCAATATTAATTGAAAGAATTTCTTTTGTGCTGATATTGTTGGTACATCTTGAACTCTGGTTTACCACTGACCCTAGAAGTCGGTTTCCAATTAGTAACTGTGTTTTTTTCCTCTTCTCTCAAGTCACCCAGGTACATATATGA